ACATATTCGAAGCTCAGCGAAAACAAAGCTAAAATATGGGAGATTTCGCTCGCAAAAGACAGGAGTGTAGAATCCAGTTTTGAGAAAAAGTCATGTCCCATAGAGAATACACGCAAAATGTGAAAAATTGACATGCCTCCTTTAATCACAAAAGTACGCCTTGATGCCTTAGTCAAAATGAAAAATTGTGGCAACTATACTTGTAGCAAATTGTCTCAGCTAGAACATATCAAAATTTAAAAGAAAATTGATCCATATTTACAGAGATACAATTAATTTTCCAAAAATATGCTGACGTCATAATATGCAAATTGAAATTTTGAGTTTGGAGGCCATTATGATGACATCATGAGTTAATTGAGGGTCAAATGAGACATGAAATCATATCTCCAACTCATAATCTATCTAAATATGAAAACATATTGGGAGTTCCCATCCATTCTGAACAGTTACAATGAATTTTGTATAGGCATGTTTTTGCCAATGTATGGTGGATAAAGATAACGCAGATCTGCGCGTGCTGTCAACTTTGACGGACGCTCATTGCGTTATTAAAAGGTGAACAAGTTATCAAAATGCTTGGAAAAATGTATCAAATATAATGACAGAAAAAATTCGGCGATTCTATATTGCAAAATGCCAGTACGCGCGAAAATGCGCGCGCATGCGCGTGTGCGTAATTTTTTTATCAAATGCTCCATATGGCCTGAAACGGATGTAAAAAAAAATTGGGATGATTTGGAGCATTTTAATTTTTTTCGCGCGCGTAAACGCGCGGACATAAGCGTACGCGCATTTTTGCGCGCATTTATTGACTTGAAATTGACCGGACGGATATTGAGTTTAATCATAATAAATATGAATGAAAAATGGCTTTCCTTTATGAAGATATGATCATAAGTTGATTTTCACAAAATGGCGCCTGGATGACGTCACGATGACCTTGACTGTCTGAAAAGTCACACAGTTCTAAGTTAGACTAAGATCTATCATCATTGAAAGTTTCATGATAATGGCTTTATTCAGTCTTGAGATATCCTGCGAACAAATTCGAGGAAGAATAATAAAAATAAATAATAATAATAAAGAAAAATCTTGACGAAATCAAAAGGTGATACGTTGACTTCGTTACGTATCACCTAATAAACAACAACAGCAATAATAATAATAATAATTGAGAAAAAAAACTACTGCTGCTGCTGCTAGTGCTACTACTGATAACAATAATAACAACAATAATAATATGTCTTGTTTAACCAGGGTAGCTACCCTCATTATAATTATTGCTGTTCACCCTGAGGGCCCTGCATCATATTTAGGTGGTCTGTCGATGACAGATCACCTATTGATTTCGCTAGAATTTTCTTTCTTTATTCTTTCTTTATTTCTTTATTTTTATTTCTTCCGTACACTTTTTTGTGCACACGTTTACTCGAAATCGACATGGTCAATTTCCTTTGAATTTCTGTCAGTCATCAAGCCCTATGATTTCAAGTCTAATTAACTTTTTCAAGTTCATGGGGTCATCGTGACGTCATCCAGGCGCCATTTTGTAAAAATCAGGTCATTATCATATCTCGATAACAAGTCATCAAAAATCAACCATATTTGGTATACATCAACTTCAGGTCGAAGGTCAACGAAAAATGTCAAAAAATTCCGCGCGCGCACCTCGACGCACACGTACGCGCGCATTAAAATTTTAAAATGGCCAAATTCGTTCTAAATTAATTTTGCATACGTTTCAGGCCATTTTAAGCATTTTCAAAATTTGCGCGCGCGTAATTATGCGCGCGCGTTTCCGCGCGTATCCACGCGTCCTGGCATTTTGCAACATAGAATCGCCAAATTTTTTCTGTTATCATATTTATTACATTTTTCCAAGCATTTTGATACCTTGTTTACCTTTTCCCGACCAGTAATACTGCAATTAGCGGCTGTCAAAGTTGAACGCACGCGCCGACCTGCGCTATCTGTATCCACAATACATGGGCAAAAACATGCCTATACAAAATTCATTTCAACTCTTCAGAATTGATAGATAACCCCCAATTTCTTTCATATTTAAATAGATTATGAGTTGGAGGTATGATTTCATGTCTCATTTGACCCTCAATTAACTCATGACGTCATCATAATGGCCTCCAAACTCAAAATTTCAATTTGCATATTATGACGTCAGCATATTTGTGGAAAATTGACTGTATCTCTGTAAACAATGATCAATTTTCTTCCAAATTTTGATATGATCTAGCTTAGACAATTCTCTACAAATGCAGTCCACACAATATTTCATTTTGACAAAGGTATCATGGCGTATTTTTGCGATTAAAGGTGGCATGTCAATTTTTCACATTTTGCGTGTATTCTCTATGGGACATGACTTTTTCTCAAAACTGGATTCTACATTCTCGTCTTTCGCGAGCAATATCTCCGTCGTTTTATCTTTATTTACGCTGAGCTTTGAGTATGTTGTAGCTGAGACAATAAGCTATCATAAGTGTGCCCTTTATTTTTCATTCAGATGCCGGGATCATGCTCATATTTCACTTCCAAAGTGGGATTAGAGAATTCCATTTCCCGTTTACGTGTAATCTCTTTGGGAAATGTTATGGTATATCCGTAACGCACTTGACTTCCGACCTCGAGGTCCCTGGTTCGAGTCCGGGCGTCTCCAACAATTTGTTTTCTTCACTTTTTTTTCTTTTTGACCTTTCACTGTACCATCTCCTTTCAATATTAAAACACGTACAATCGTAAATAATGTAATAAACAACCATATTTACTTTATTATTACCCTAATATCACTTGATCCATTACTTTTTGCGTGCAATCCTTATGGGAGATGACTTTTTCTCAAATCTGGATTCTACAAAATCTTGTCTTTTGCGAGCAATATCGCCGTTATTTCGGCTTGATTTTTGTTGATTTTTGAGTATGTTGTAGCTGTGACTATATACTATCTAAATGTTCTCTCATTTTTGTCAGTCTGATGTCATCATGGTCTGTTGATGATAATCATCAACATCATCATGATCATCATCATCATCATCATCGTCATCACCATTACTATCAAGATCATCATCATCATCATCATGATGATCATCATTGTTTACATGTCTATATAACTTCTCCCTTTCTCAATAAAGTAAATATTATAATCTATCATAAGACTTGAAGACAGACCACCTTAATCGTCCTCGTGACGATTTAAATTCTAGTTTTACCCTTGCTTCAGCCGAGCTACATTAATAAGGCGCTCATGCATTCTAGGAATTTCTTCCTACCGGGTATCCCCATTTACAACACCTGTGTGGAGAGAGGCAAATGTAGATTGAAATCTTGCCACAGGCCATTATCCTATCACAACGACTCCTGTGACCAGAGTGAAGGAGTATTGAATACCCTTGTTGAACTCCCATTATTTATCTAATTTAGTTGACAATGAGAAGAGGTATTTCCATGTTAGTTCATCCTTGAGAGATAGAAATGCATTCAGCCTTTGTAAAAGTATAGGAGTTAATGGCTTTCTACCTCGAAACAGACGATTTGATGATTTTGATTCTGAATATCAATCACCCTGTATTGTGCACTGCTTTTGCAGTGTATCTGTAAAAAAATTGGAATACTCTAATTTATGTATTCTCATTCATTCTTTGTATTTGAGGGTATTATGAGCTATGCACCTACACGTAAACTGCACTATTCAAAGTCATAAATGTATCCTACAATGATTGTTGTATCGTTGAATCACAAGTCCAAAGTGCCTAACCCTATCTAATTCTTGCTTGTGCAATTATTTCTAGGCGAATTTCACGTCCTTGACTGAGATGTTGTCTAATCCCTTATGATTCAATCTCATCTCAACAAAAGATCGTTGCTCAGTCTGCTGAGAGTCAGAAGGTCGTCAGCTCCGTGTTGCAGGATATGACCTAACGCCTTTTCAGCTCTCGGGTGGACAACTTTTACGATCATCAACGCCGAGAGAATTCCATCCTCACCTGGCTTTATCCCTTCACATTTTATAATCTCACGCCAACAGTAGCGTCTTCGTAGACGTGACAGGATTAGCCCGAACTGAGGGAGCATCGATGCCGAAGGAACATCGGATCGGGGAGGCTGTGGGGAAATTGGGACCAAGCCTCCCTTCCTTCCCGAGCCGCAGACCTCGGTGTAACAAGTCACGGTGGTGACAGACTTCTTGTGTTCCCCTCGAGTCTCTTGCACTCCCTCTGTTCGGTGGGGATGTTCTCTCCCTCCCAGAATGATTCATGTGAATGTGTGATAGACAAGTCCTTGCCTTACCTTCATGTTCACTTTGCGAAAACATGACATGAAATTGCATGTAGGGGAATAGACCAGTTTACAACTGTTCCTTTTATCCATGAATTTACTGCTGAATTTATAAAAACAGAATGCAGGCTGTGTCCTGCCATTTGTTGCTATGTTTGATAAGCCTGGGGCAGGGTTACGGCTGTTTAATGTAATACCTGGGCCAATATTAGGGAAGATGTTGGCAGAGTCTCTTTGGTGACTGACTAGATAGGATTAAAAACAAAACATGTACCGTTAATTCCATTTTAACCAAACATATACAGGAAAATCTATAAGACTATGGGGAATGCCTTGTTCAACGAAGGAGAGAGTAAAAACAATCAATATACATGTATGAACAATCTCTCCAACCACAGCCAAGGGAGTAGGCTTGGCAGAATCAGCAGGGAAAGAAGACCCTGTTGAGCTTGACTCCATTCAAGCTCATGATAATGCAATTGACAACAAGTCATTTTATTATGTATTTTATGTATGTTTAATAGACATGTGTACAGTTCGAGTCAGTTACATTTTATTATGTACAAGATCCATCAAAATTTATGTTAATTATTTGTGATGTTTAATTTGAAATGAAAAGGATCGATAAAACATGAAATACAAAAGAAGAAAACAAAATAGGTATGGCCTTTCTCCACAGTTGGCCCTTATAAGCAGGTGTATCTTACCTCATACCAGAGCCCCATCATGGTATTCCTTTTCTCCTCGCTCCCACAAGTGAGCCATTTCTGAAACAGAGTCTCCAACATCTAGTCCAGACTTGGTTCGGGTCTAATCCGGATTAGTTCAGATCTACTCCAGATCTAGTCCAGAACTACCGGTACTCCAGATCTAGTCCAGATTTATTCAAGATATAGGCCAGATATAGTCCACGTTAAGTCCAGGTTCAGTTCAGGTTCGATCCTCAGTCTCCCGCAGATGTAGTCTAGATTAAGTCCAGATATAGTCCACGTTAAGTCCAGGTTCAGTTCAGGTTTGATCCTCAATTTCCTGCAGATGTAGTCCAGATTAAGTCCAGATATAGTCCACGTTAGGTCCAGGTTCAGTTCAGGTTTGATCCTTAGTCACATGCAGATGTAAAGTCCAGATCTTAGTTATTACATGGTCCAACTATTTATTTCAGATTTAGATCAGTTTTGGTCCACATCTATTTCAGATTTATTCCCTCCGATGAGCAGTCCAGACTTGCACATTCATGTAGTCCAAATCCTCCAATTTGTGACCTCTCCTGTACACCCAGATGCCAGTGACTGAGTAATGACTTTCAATAAGCTTTGGGAATATCCTTTACCTTCCTATATCCGGAATCCTTGAGTTGCCTTTGTCAAATCCCTTGTGCATGTATTAAATAAGAAGCAACTTTATGCTAACACCTACATGTACAACACGCAAGTATGCAAATGCACCATATAAGAAACAACGAGACACAATCCCAATAGGTATGTGATGAAGAAGTGCTAATATTTTGTGGAGTTTTTCACCACAGCTACATGTAACATTTGAAGAAATAAGGTTTTAAAATATTTATATTATTCCTGTTTCATGTAATATGCTACAGAAGTACCGATGTCCACTAGATGCAAGGTGCTGACAATAGTAATACATACATGTGTGTTTCATCCAAACATGATTCTGAGGGAATGATTTACTGTGCTGGAGAGATGAATAAAGCTCGGAAAAGCCATGTAGGCCAATTTGGACCCTCAGCCAAAATGAAATATCTAAATATAAAGTCTACTGGCAAACACCTACGTTTATATTACACCATAATTGGGAATGATGATGACCCCCGTCAGTACTTGCATGAGCAACACAGCAGACCAATCATGAAAAGAGTTAGCCACATTTACAAAAACTTGTGTACTATAAATAAGCAATGTCCAAAAAGCTCTCAAATATCTCATTCATTTAAGAAGTCCGACATTAGTCAATACACCTGTCTCTCGAGTAACATGACGGCACTCCAAAAAAAAGTTTCCAAGCAACATGTGCAGCCTTTCCTGAACAAGTATTGGCAGTAAGTGCTATATCCAAGCTGGACAAGTTGGCTAATTATTCCTCACTAAATCCCAGGAAATGGTCATCTAACAGAAGCTACATCAAATGTCCATACAGGTTTAATCCTCATTATTAAAGAATAATTGGTTGCAAAAAAGAGTACAGCAGCCAGGCCAGGAGCGATTCTCCAACACGTGATGCAACTATTCAGTTGGCCGCTCTCCAGGTTTCCATGACAATGGTGCAGTTCGTATGAAAATGAGGTCTTTCAAACAAACACGTGCATCGACCAGAATATACAGTCACAAGCATGTGAAACTGTGGCATATATGACACAGTGCTCTTCCTGTCTGTATATGTTACCGGAACACCATACTATCTGCTTGTATAAGTATCACAAATTGTCCAACTTTATGCAAAACTTCAACAAAAGGTCTTTCTGCTGCATCAGTTTCTTTCCTCGTCCGAAATCAAGAGTACTCTGTGATTCCTCTGTAGTATCGTCATTTAGGACAGAAGCCTAATATGCTATTACACACCCTGATAAAAAATTTCCAGGCTAGCTCTCGGAATCGTTCTTATCAGTCTCGATTTACTGCACATGAATGCCAAACAGATACCTTCCCCTCAATGAATGGACTAATTAGCGAGTGCGGTTGCAGTGTGTCGCCTCCGTAGGAGTCAGGGGAGGGGGGCAATCAAATCTATAGATAGAAGAAGATTTGAGTGTGAAATGTTTCTCTTTTCTCTGGGAGAAAAGTCAGGTGACTTATTATTGTAGGAGTGATTCACAGGACGCTGAAGGTCTTCTCTATTTTATTCCCTCGTTAAAGTTCCCTCGCTGTATCTTAATTAGGTGTCTCGAACCAGGAAACGTTGCTATTAATCGTAGGGGGATCCGGATTAAAGTTCGAAGCTGCGATCCCGCATGGCACACGACGTACATCCTCTCTCCAACAACCGGAGAGGTGTTTATGAGATGTTCCTCACGTATTCGGCAGTGATTGTAGAGGCCATATAAACTGTTTTTGTAATCAAGGTTTCAAGAGGACACAGCAAATAAAAGGGAGGGAATTAGCTGGAATTTGAGTCAGCGAGACTCTGACGTAAAACAAATACAAGCAAATAAGGAAATGGTTAATTTGGGATCGTTAAACATTCGGATCAACAATCTTTCCTGTGGAATCTTTTGATTATTTTTTTCCTCTTTTCTTGGGAATGCTATCTTTTTCGTGCAGAATGGACTTTGAATTAGTGCTTGGTAATTTTGTTTCCACCTTGAAATGCTAAATTGTCCTTGGAGAGCTAGGCAATCTGTTTCAACAAATACATGAACTTTGTCTCCACAATAGATAACTAACTGATTAATGATTACGATGAAATATATATTTAACTGGACTTGATTCATGGATAAAATATTATTTAATACACCACTATCATGGGCCTATTACTTCTATATGTATTCATTTTTCAGCTGAAACTGATTTGATTTTATACCAAACTGAAATTCATCTGGTCAAAGTTTTGATAAGAGATCTTACTGCATAAGCTTTTTATCAAAAACCTCATTAGATACTGCAATATATGTGCATTCATGAAATAGAGGGCACGCAAAGCAAGAGTCATTATCTTATCTCTTTTTCATATTAAACTGTTCATAACATAAATTTTGCATAATGGATGCAATGCAGTGATATCCTCCTTGTGCACGTCTTCTCAAAAGAGAACTCGGCTCAAATCTACATGCATGAGATATGAACCAAGATTGGACAGACTATAGTCAGTAGAGGGAGGCAGACCACATACTCGATGTGTCTGGATCCAGTCCCTGTTTACCACTGTATGCATTTCCTATGTATATGTAGGAAATACATGAACAAAATACATGTACATCCCAAGTAATAGGTCTATGAAATAAGTGAACTTGCTATGCAGGTATGATGCTCTGTCTATTCAAGGAATACATTTGTCAAATTCAAGAATGCAGGACCCATCTATTTGTTTTTAAGTTGCAAATCAGGATTAAGAAAATATCCATGAAAACCATCTGGCAAAAGCAAATTAAGGAAGTACAGAACAGATAATATTTTTTCATTTCAAAAGGTTCACCATACCGGATGGTCCACACGATGTAGGGACTCACATCTCTATCAAAAGAGAGTATAAATTGTCTGAAAATGAAACCAAATTTTTGTGTCCACAGTTAAACATTAATGAACCCAATTAAGTTCACAATTAAACTGTATCAAATAAAAAAAAATTTAAAGAAAAAAAGATCCAAATTGCATGACCAACGAGTATCAAGTATCTCATTTTCTGCAAAAACCTGGGTCTCTCCTCCCAATATAACTAATTGGGATTTTTAAGATTGTTCCCATAAAATCAAACTATTATATTGAAATAACCAACCTTGTGGGCCTACAGGTGGATAACAAATTAATTGGAAGAAGAAAATAACAGAACATTCCAACACTTGGTCATGTACCCTGTACTCTGTTTTCAACTCAAAGTGTCACTGTTTTGAAATCCAAACGTTGCTGTTTTGAAAATCAAAGCATCAGGTCGCAAATGGAACTTGATGAAAGCGCAAACAAACCCCTATTAGCACTTAAATTGGACAGTCAGCATACATGTTCATGAATGACTCAGGTCAATTTAGATGTACGTGTACGTCTATCGACTCCGCACTCAACAAATATCTTCTTTCGTCGTGAAGTCGACCTGTCTAGAGACAGTGCGAGCAATCTCATCTGATTTAGCTTTGATTTGCTGAGTCAGCATTTTAAATGTGCATTCAATAGTCAAGCCTTATTGGCTTAAATGACAAATGCACCATTTTCCCTCTGCACTATGGTTTAAACTTGCATAATTTCTCTATAGTTTGAATGTTATTATGTCAATTTATATATTAAATATTGATATTGTTATCTGTTATGATATTCCAGCTTTTATCTTTGTGTATATTATCATGATGATGGAAAAAAATGTTTCAAAACAACAAAGTACAGAATAGCACTCGAACCATAGCCTGCATGTAAATGATATGCATATCTCAATAATACAGAGAATAAAGCAACAACAATGCACATGTAGCCTATACAGTGGAAAGTGTATTGTTATGATATACAAAGATCCTCGACCTTATCCTCACCCTAAACTCTTTCGACCCTCATTCTATTGCTCATGACGAGGCCTAAGATATGCTGGTGGTAGATTTTGATACTGGATCTTTTTTTTCTCAAACTCGTAAAATATACCTTTCACTGTATCTCCCTGACAATCGCTGCATTAGAACCCACATGTGCGTGTTCGTGTTGTGGAGTGGCATCTCAAATAAAATGCTTGCATACTGTCAAACCAGAAACTTTTGTGTACAAGAAACATTTGCTAATTCCACGAGTAGACTCACAAATGTTTTGTTGCCCTGAAATATATTGTAATTTAATAATACAACACTGAAATTTAACAGTTTCTTGGTGTGAGAACCCAAAAGGTCAATGTTGACAGCTTGTGTCATTTTGTTTTTTCCCTTCTGATTTTACTATTATATTGTAGAGGAGAATTTATGGACTAAGAGGGGGGGGGGGGGGGGGGTGAAGAGCTAAAACAGTATTTTTTCGTGCCTACATCCTGCCCCCATATGTATTTGTTGTAAAATGTTATCTGTTGTGTTAAATTCATCCTAAACAAATCCTTCAGGGTATTTTTGGCATGCAAAACTGTAGCACAGGTAAACAAAAAGCCATCGCATCAGAATCAAACGTGCTAGTATCGACCTCGAGTAAGCAAAATGCACCATCACGACTTTTCATATAAAAAATGGGTCTTCCATCGTTTCTTTTTACTCCTTTTTCACACACTGTAACCCAAGCGGCGCTCATGGCACCACGGGGATCTGGGAGAGAGCTCCCTATTTGTTTTGACCCACATTTTTTTGCTCTCTGGCTTGTCATCGGAAAAGAAAGACGATCCCTGGTGAGATAATAGGAAACGAGCCCCTGGGGATCACAGGGGGGTATACACCACAAGCCCATTTACACATCCCAAACACAAATTCGAAAAATCATTGATTTTTGGTCTACCATTACTGGAAAAACCATTAAAAATTGTTAAAGTTTACTCATACCGCACGCGCGAGTCGTCGGTGCCCTACATGCATTAGCACGGAAGCGAGGAGAGTCACGTGAGCAAAAACTGGTATCGTATCAAAGTTTGCATTTACACTGCTAAAAATTGGTGAAACTTCGGAAGGCATTTAACAAAACCACACTCCACTCACTCCAGAGGTGGATTTTTTATTTCAATTTTTTGTCACGTTTGTGGAATGTGAGAAAAATCTATGGTTTTCGGTTGCAGTGTGGATGCAGCTCTCGGCTACTTGACCAATCAAGGGGATCATCCTTCTCACATCTCAAAGGGTTACTTTTGCCCATCATCCTTGCCTCCAGAAAGATATATTTTTGACAATAATTTATGTCTGTCAAAAGAGAAAGCTGTGGTGGTAATGGCAGAGGGATGAGGATACTGAACTAGAAAGTATATGAGATGAAGGGGGGGGGGGTGGGGGTGGTAATGACTTGGAAACAAAGACTTTGTTAACATGGACAAATAGCATATGCAGAATTTGGATTGAGAATAGTCTTATATTGAGAGGAAGGAAATTCGGTTCATAAACTGGTGAGTCATGAACCTAATGTTACATTTAGGGTCTTGTGTATTTCATTTTTTTTTTTTTTTTTTTTTTTTTGGGGGGGGGGGGTTGTGGATGTAGATGACTCATCAAAGTCATAAACGATAACAATCACAATCTGAATCTGTTTGTAGTTGCACTATATTAGGCAATAGCACTACGCGCTGATAGTACCACTTGCTGAAAGCACCACTCACCGATAGCACCAAGGAGGTATTGGCAGGATTACCATGTAACTCATCTTGCCCTACAAATTTCAATTTTGAGAAGAGGGAAGGGAGGGGGGGGGGGGGCTTCATGATGGATGTATAAAATGTGGTAGAAGGTGGTAGAGTCATAGTAGACAGACTAAGTCCACAGAATGGATGTTACGACACATGGACATCAGTTTATCGCAAATGGAAAGGGAAGGGCTGTCTAATACTGGTAGCTAGATAGATAGGGGGCAGATTGGCTCCTCACAGCAGACCGAGCAAATTCACAGGATGTATTTAATACATCATCACAAGTGGAGATGAGAATGGAAGGGGGTCGTATAAATTTAAGAGAAGTGAAGTGAAGAGAACATTACAGAATAAAGCACAACATGGGAGGGGGAGGGAAGGTAAAATAGAAGAATTGGGGGGAGGGGGTAGTAGAGTCATAGCAGGCAGAGCAAATCCAGAGGATGTAATCATACATCATCCCACACCTCGCTGCCGGTCTCTCTCCAGCTCACATCCAATAAATATTGAACTCCCACAAACCCCCAGATGTAAACTGTGATGGATAGAAGCAATAACTGCCAATGATGCGTACGACCAAGCTCTAATCCTGAGCACACTATTAAACATGTAATAAATCCCTAACGGAGACAGTTGCAAAGCCGTCCATCACGTTGCGAGAGAAATGTCTCACCTCCTAAATACACATCTAGAGCCAAGGAGAAGGCCAAGCTGAATTTTTAAATATTTTACTTAAAATACCAAAGGTCAAATACAATTACATTCTAAAGAGTAACGTCAAACATTACATTGAAGAGAAAATACTAAGAGATAACTTGTATGTTTTACATAAAAAACTTATAGAATGTGACTTGAATATGTAAAGATTTCACCGGGGTTGAGAAAAGTCTAATAAAAGCCGACTTGCATGAATATCATATACTCATAGCCAGATGACATCGACATGTACATCAACATTATTTGCCTTCCTTATCTGTTTATTACTTCATGTAAACATTGCAGCTTTTAGACTTAGAGAAATGCAAGTATTTTGCTTTATCAACCCTAAATCAAAGAAATAAAGTGTACTAATCAGTAATCACAAAAACATGTTTTTCTCTTGACGTAAGGCAATGACATAAGGGCTATACTTCAAAATATGAGCTTCAAATATTAGTTCACCAAAGAGATATTGCAATTTAAATACACTCTCAGTGAACAGTTAAAACAAACTCTGATTTTGGAGTATGACCCCAACTGTGAGCCTACTTCGGCTTTAGCTACATGCTTATGCCTAACATTGTAAGTTGGGGCTCTGATCGAATCGGAAGATCGGAGCGACACCGTTGTACCTTTGATCGGTATAGGCAAATTTGTTTTAATATTTATTTTTTAGTGCTGAAAATTTGCAAGTTTTGGGCTATCAAATGCTAAAAAAAACATTCATAGCTGGGATTATTTTGTCATTTGGAGTTGTTGAAGTTCTAGACCATGTTTGTTGATATTAAGTGCCTTTTCATGACTTCGAGATCTGTGATTCAGAAAAAGTTTTACTACTTACACTAGAACTTGAGCTTGTCCCCGTGAATGTACCGGTATGCGACTCTGATTGGCTCGACCCTCTTCCTTTGGAGTTCGTGTTGTTGGGGCCACCTGCCTTA